TTTGTATCTGAGAGGCGTCCGATACACATTTTCCCTGTGTGTTAACGTAATTATGACTGTCGAATATCTGGCTTGGCTCTTGGTAATGTATTTTGCCGCGCCCCCAAAAAATATGATTCGACTATCAGTCGAATATCTGCAAGATTTGAAAATTCCGATTCGGGAATTCTTAGTCGGGGACACCCCTATGGTGTTGTTGTTACGTGTCTGATGACAGTCGAGTCCACAGCTGAGGAATATTTCATGGCCCTTCCGGCTGTTTGTCATTGCGTTTGGTTTGAGAAACGCCGCTGTGAGGCAGATACTTTCGGAGGCTTGAGAAATTATTCCTGTCATTCACCATTCACTGGTGCTTCATATTTCATGCTTTCTTTCCAAAAAGCTATCTGAAATAAAAACGAATGGGGAAAATACTTTGGTAACCAACACCACTGGAAAAGCTCTTACCTCCCCTGTGAGAAGAAAGACATGACGCTGTCTTTTATTCATTATAGCCGTTATTTCAGTGTTCAGAGACTCAGTGTTTGCTGGCTTTGTCTCCCGCTGCAGTAAGAGCACGTTCGGTAAAAGCTTGGATATCTCGGAATCCAAATGCAAAGCAAAAGGCCAAAGGGGAAAGGCCTCTGACCTCCAGATAGTTCACAGAGCTTCAGTCATCAAAGATGCAGAGACGCTTTTACTGTCCAGACATTTCCAGCTTTCCAGCGAGACCCTCTTACTGACCTGCGCTGCATTACAGGCTCCCGGCTTCTGTCTGCAATAATAGGCTAAAAGAAAGATTTAGTTCAAACGATTTCAACACACTGTAGGGCTGCTTAATGTTATGATCTGTGAGTTTGGAGTTTAAAGTTCATGCTTAAAAAAAATAATAATAATTGCTGAAGTCTAATTAGCATACTTACACTGAATATAAAAAAAGAATGTAGAATGCTGCTGATGGTGGAGTCCTTTTTTGTAAGAAAAAAGGTATTCGAAAAAAAAATATGTTGCCATAAATTGCGTCTTGATTCCAGAGTGTCAGAGTACTGTTGCAAACAGGGTGACTCTCACAAAATGTAATGATTGAGACATGTAATTCGTTTTTTTCTTATTTTTTTCCACTTTTTAAATGATAAACAACTGAAAAAGTGTAAAACATTAATAACACATTAATATGAAACATATAAAACATATTCTGAGCCTTATTATCTCATGCAGTGTTGCCTCTTGGGGTAAGTTTATTTTTATGATTTTTTTTTATATTTATATTTTAACTGAAAAACAATACAAAATATTTGTTTAAAAAATTTTGCAGTAAATCTTTACACTATTATCAGATGTCATACTATAAGAACCTGATTTTTATACGACAGTGAAACATATAAAACATATTCTGAGCCTTATTATCTCATGCAGTGTTGCCTCTTGGGGTAAGTTTATTTTTATGATTTTTTTTTATATTTATATTTTAACTGAAAAACAATACAAAATATTTGTTAAAAAATTTTGCAGTAAATCTTTACACTATTATCAGATGTCATACTATAAGAACCTGATTTTTATACGACAGTTTTTTTTGTGTTATTTATATACTATTAAAATATGTATTAATACTTTGAATTAGCTCTTTTCAATATTTTTCTTTTTCATTTAAGTTTTATTTGTTTTATATTTTTGTCACATTGCA